CTTCTTAATGAGACAAATGAACGGGGAGCGGGCTGGAAGTTTTAATTAGAAGCTTCCAACCTCTGAGAAGACAAAGGCGAGATCTGCCAGGCAGGAAAGTAGGGCAGGAGGAGTCGGTGACCCGGGTCCCCGGGGGACAGCAGCACGCCCGGAGCCACGTCCGCCCTCCCTGTCCCGCTCCTGCCACGCTTGGTCACCTCCGAGGGTGGCTACGGGGAGCTGGCACAGGCAGCCAGATGTGTCAGTGCCCAGATGTGCCCTGGCATGGCAGGAAGGGGGGTCACAGGGGTGCTAAGGGACAGTCACGGTCCCCAGGTAGGGATGCTCAGAGCGCTGTGGCCCAGGACTGGGGGCTCACGGGCAGCTGGAGGGGGGGATCTCAGCGGGAGGAGGAGAGAGTGGTGACAGGGACGGGGCTTTAGAAGAGGGAAATGGCACAGAAATGCTCTGCTCCGTCTCTAAGCAAAGCAGGGGGAGGGCAGGCAGGCTCTGCCTCCCCCCTGCCCTGGGACACCGAGCAAGGGGCCCAGAGCGCCCCCAGGCACAGCAAAGGGGGCAGAAGGCTTCCACGGGACCCCCACGCTGACGGGAGAGGTGGGGTGAAGAGGGGAAGCCCCGACGGAGCCCACCCCCAGGAGCAAGGGCCTTTTCCAGGCCCGCTCAGATGGGAGCCGCTACCCAACGCCAGCTCCCCGCGCGAGGGGGAGGCGAGAAGAAACAGCCGCACGTCTCCCCTCGCCCCTTTGGTTTGAAACGAAAAGATTTATTAAAAGCGCGTGTTATTTCTTAGCATCACCCATCTGTTAGCACTCGACACCCCGGCGCGGATTAGAGAGGGGCTGAGAGGGAACAGCAATAACCCATCTGCTGCAAAAATACACAGGGCTGCACCGACGGGGGTGGGGGTAACACACAACGGGGGACAGAACCAGGACAGGAGGCGGCTAGGGGTGACTTTAGGGGTTGTGGGGCCGGAGGAAGGAGAGGAGAGAAGAGAGGGAGAAGTTTGGAACCAGGGTTTGAACACTGGGAGGGATGGCGGATAATGGAGCCATCAGCATAAGAGCTTCATGGGTTGGGGGGTGGGAGCGAGGGGGGCCCGGCGAAGTGGGGCAAGCGATGGGGTGGTCCTCTTGCTGCCTTTCTGGGTGAGAGTGCCCGAAGGATGTTCTGAAGATGGGGAAGAAAAAAAAAAAAAAAAAAAAAAAAAGGGGAGAGACAAAGGAGGAAACTCCGGGGAAAAAGAA